CCCCCCCCCCCCCCCCCCGGATGCAGCGCCCCGACCGGGGGGGAACACCGCGAGATGCCGAGTTCATAAGGGGTCCCCTGGACGGTAGGCGGCTCTCCCGCCCTCCCGCCCCTCCCCCGCAGCCACACGCAGGCCCCAGCGCACCCTGTTATACGCAAGCCACTCCACAAGCGCGTCGAGATAGGGGATGATCAGGTGAGAGTCATAGCCGATGCTCCGGGTCTGGCCCCGGTAGAGGAAGTTCGATGAATTCATCAAGTGAAGGACGCCATTCAGATCGATCGGCAACACTCGCCAGGCGTTCCCCTCTCGCCGGTTGAAGAAGTGGCCATAGAGGGACGGGGAGGACTTCCTGGCATCCGGAACAGGCCTGGGTTTGGCGGGGCGCCAGGCGCCGGTCGGGCCCGCCGGGCCGGACGGACCACCGCCACCGGTGACACGCGCCCCGGTGCCCTCCTGGGCAGGTGTCCCGGCGGCAAGTGCCTCTGGCGAGGGGAGGACCACCGGGGCGGAGGGCCGCCCGTGCGGATTCTCCCCATTTTCGCCCTCGAGGGCGGGCTTGTCGCCATCCTCATCATGGTCATCATCGGTGCCGGGGTCATCATCGGTGCCGGGGTCATCATCGACATCGAGCTCGTCCGAAGCGATACCGCCAGCGTCTTCCATATCAGACGGCGGCTCCCCCTGGTCCAGGGGATCCAGCGAGTCCCCGGAGTCCTCCCGCCGTGGGGGCATGCTGCCGCTCGGCGTGGTATACAGATTGATTCGATAGATTCCCATGGAGTATGGTAGGCGGTGGCGCGCGACGTGGGGCAATCAATGGGCGGGATTTCTTTAATAGGAGGCGAGAGATCAAAGAGGGAATCGATGTGTTGCCTGCTCGGGCGGTCGCGTGCATGAGGCCCACTCTTAAGTCTTCTACCAGAAGGGAGAGGGGGGGGCGGGCGGGCGAGAGACACAGAAAGAGGAATCGCCCCTGGGCTCCGACCCCCGGGCCGGCCTCCGAGAGGAAGCCCCGAAACGGCTGACCAAAGCCACGCCAGAAACTTCGGCGATCCGCGCTCGCTCTGTTCGTCTTTCCCCCAGCTCGGGGGAGGTGCTCGCCCCCCGCCGCCCCCCCAATGTCGAGGCCCCCGGACCAAAGGGGGAAGCCGGAGACTCTGGCAAGGGAGGCCACTTGCTTCTTTGGCCTCCCCACTGTTGGGCAGATCTGCCAACGTAGTCAAAAGCCCCAACGCACGGCTCGGCCAGCGCTCAAGCAACTTGCTCAGGGGTCCGCTGGGCTCCACCCCATTTCGCGGCGCGTGTCCGTGAGATCGCCGGGGCCCGACCTCCCCAGTGGCAAGGCGGGACCCGCGTTCGGAGCGCCCCGCAGGAAGCGGCCGGGGCTCGGCGCGCTGATCTTCCGAGATGCACAGGCCGAGGGGCGCGGCGCGGGGGCCGCCCTCTCCGCCGCGCCCATGTCCGGCCGGTCGATCCTCTCCGGCATATCGGCGGCGGTGCCTCCCCCCCCCCGTCCCCGCCGCAAGCAGCCATACTCAAAGCAGGCAGCTGCCCCAGCCTCGAAGAGGCACGCGTGTCCGGCAAAGGAAAGCCCCAGGCTCGGGCCCCCTGCCTCCTCTGCCTGACGCTGTCCCGCCGCTTGGTGAACACACGCCCACGATACCATCCAGGCAAGCACCCGCTCGCCCTCCTCCGCCCTCCCCCCTCGCCCGGCCCCTGCCGGGCAAGTGTAATCCAGGGAGTTTGGCATATTCGATGTCGTGAATGGCCACATGTGTGGTCGACCCAGGGGCCCCTATGGCCTTTCGGAGGGGAGTCCGCACCATGGAAGCCACGCACCTGCTGCTGCTGCTACTGCTGCTACTGCTGCTACTGCTGCTGCTACTGCTGCTGCTGCTGCTGCTGCTTGAGCTCAGCCCCGGGGGCAGGGAAGTTCTTTGGGCCCCGGCAACCTCCGGCGCGCTCTGGCCACACGGTCTTGCCCGGGTCCGCTCGACCAGCCGCGTGGCGGCCGAACGGCAATCACCCCGGTCGATCGCGAGCGAAGGAAATCCCGCGGAAGCGGACCACCGAAAGCCCTCCGGCCCGGCGCCAGCGTGTGATGCCGGTGGGCATGTGGATGGGCTGATCCCGGGCCAACACCCCGGGCGGCTGCCTGTCCATGTCCCCGCTGGCAGAGGGCCGACGCCCATACGCACAACCGGATGCCACCTTTTGGGAAGGCACCGCTTGCCTCCATCCGTGTCCACCCCCCCCCCCCCCCACCTGCCCGCCGGGTGGCTGACAGGGCCAAAACCACAGGCTCTGCTCGCCAACCCCCCTCACCCCATGTGCGCCACAATGTGCATCGTAGCCGGATTGCCACCCCCTCACATCCCCCGCGAACGCCCGACACACAGGGGAAGCACGTCCTATCAGCCCCAGCACGGGCGGCTCATGCGCTGGCCAGCACACGAGGGAGCATCGGGAAAGGAGGCGCGCGACCGGCCCAAAGGGCGCTGCCTGTGAACGGGAGCCCCGGCGCCCGGGGGGCGTTTCTCATGCAAGAGAAAAAAAGAAGACCAGGCAGCCAGCCCGTGAGGATGCAACATGCCGGGGCCGGGCATGCACCGCATGCGAGGGATCTCCCCGTTAAGTCAGGCCACCCATCTTTGTCAAGCACGCGGTGGATTCAACGATCCGTGCACCCAGGCCGCGCTTCGTAGCCGGCGACACCCAAAAGCATCACCGCCGCAGCCACATAGGTATCATCGCCAGCAATAGCGGAAATGGTTTCACAGGTAGCCGATGGCAAAGCGCAAGACTGGGGGAAAAAAAGCCCACCATTGGGCCCGGCATGACCTTGCTAAGAGGGAGTGGGTCTACGGGAAGCAGAAGGAATCCTGCCTGGCCGGAAATAAAGGGAGGGGCAGAGACAGGGAGAAAGAGAGATAGAAGCGGGGAGAGATTGCAATGCGCCCGGAGAGGCCCACCGACCAGCGCGGCCCGTTCGTTGGCTGTCCCGCTCGCATCATCAAACCATTTAATTTCGCTTTTTCCTTTGACAAAGACTACGAGACGCGCACGCACGATACCGACCTCGCGTGCCCTTCTCTCTCTCCCTCTCTCTCTCGCCCCTGCGCCCCTCTGCCCCCATGACGGAGCCACCTAAAAGGGAATCGCTCGCCCCCCCCCCCCCCCCCCCCCCCCCCCGTCTCCGGCCTGCTGGTGGCCTCGCTGCTGTGCGGCT